GGCTTAGGGTTTATGGGATTTAGGGATTTAGATGTAAGTGCATCGCCCAGCGACATGCTCAGCCCGGTTGCAAAAAAGGGCTTAGGATTTAATGCTTTTGGTTCAACATCTATGAACGGCAAAAAAATGGAGACTGCTCAAGTATTGGGGATTATACAAGGGCGATAGGTAGGAAAACGCTCAATTACGATTACAGACAGAAATCACTAGTAGTTCATAATGTACTTCAGAATATGCCCACCTAGCCCCTAAACCCGTGTTCCTTTCTCATCTTTGTTTCAATGTCCATGGTCTCTTCCATTTCATTTTCCGTTGTCGGGGTACTATCTTTTGACTACATAATACTTATACGACCTGGGCAGACTATAACGACCTTACCCGACCTCACCTTAAGTGGTGGTTTATATGAAAAAATGATCTCGGGCTGGCCTACTTTGAGGTCCGGAAACTCTTTTAAGAAGGCCAGTGAAGAAAAGATGGCTCGTCTCATCGTTTCCATCCTTTCATGCCCCTGCGAGTGTCCGCAAGACCCAAGGCGGAGAGAGAGACTATGGTTGTACAGCTTTGGGCTAGGAGTGTCGGCTTAAGGGGTTTAGAGTTTGTCCTTGCCATCGAGACTCCAGTGTGTCGTGCCAAACGTTCCTGCATTTTCAGGTTTGCAGGGTGGCGCGCAGAAAAGAAGGGAATGCTTAAGCCATGTGGATAGCTCCCACAATTTGGGTCCCATTTTGGTACCCCTAAACATTAGGTGCCGCCATACAATCCATAACCAAAAAGGGGCCCGTAACTTTAAAAGCTATTAAACCCCATATATACCCTATATAACCCTTTGTAGTAGTTTCCATTTTTTCTTTTCCATCATCAGTATATAACCCATATATGTATATATCACAACAACCCATTAACTCCACATGCGCATTCAAGGCGCATTGTCAGAGGGAAGGCTCGAAGGCCACATGTCCAAACTTGTGTTGCAACTTTTGCCTTTGTGGTAATATAGGGTTAGGGGTTTAGGGTTTAGGTTGTAGGGAACCATAATATAGGGTTCAGGGTCTAGGGCTTTATGCACAAACAGGGTTTAAGGGTTGAGGTTTGCTTGTGGGTTTAGGTTTTAGGGGTCCTTACACCCTAACTTACTAACAAGAAGTCCTGACCACGTATCAGTTCCGCAGTATCGCACGTGTAAGAACATCATACTCTCAATCAGGGTCCTATATATGACAGCTTCAGGGTGGGAGCCGTATCCAAACTATTAGATGGTTATTTCTCAACACCATCCCCATAGAATCCCGAATAAGAAGAGGTCTTATTGCAGCTAACCTGCCTGAGCTGCCACTTGCGTCAAGACCAGGTATAAGGAACTTCAACTACGATCCCTATACAAACCCAAAAGGTTGAGCTTCAGTCCTAGGAGAGTGGACAAGTAGCAAACTCAGCCGCAATTGCAACATGCAGCAAGTATGCATTTGAACTTATGTGCTTACAACCCTGGGCGCGCTCCAAGCACTTCAAATGTCCACCTGCAAGGTTTACAGTTCGTTCCTCGATGAGGCCGACAAGTGAACAGGAAATTCGTTCTGTGGCCAAGATCCATGGGCCGGCTGGGCGCCGGGAGGAGGTGGTCTTGGAGGTGGAATTGTGGTGGCGGTGGTGGTGATACTAGACCATAGCTCAATAGCTTTCTCTCCTGTGAAAATAAGCCCTGCGCCCCGTGCCAGGCCCACCCTGGTTTTGGCTGACTTGCTTCCTGACCTCGGGTGAAAGTGGCCATACTGGGCCTATCGTGCAGGTGAGAGATACCATGCATTGAGTGCAAGCTCTTTGCGGCATGCCAGGAGACATCACAGTTGTAGAGAACCTAGGGCAATTTGAAGGAGTCATCTTACATCCAGGCTTGGGTTTTGGGCCCAAAGCTTTCTGTTCCGCGCCTAAATAATTGCCAACATTGTGGTCCTACATTCCTTGTATAAGCAAGTAAACCTCAAAACAATATAGCTTATCATTTTGGCCCCGGTGCGATTTGTGAACTCTTTCTCTCTTACCGGTCTTGAGGCAGCTGGCTCTGAATGAGTCCTGAAAACCATAACATGAAAGTCCTTCTACAGTGGTTTACATTGCAAGCTATCTGAGTTTCAAAACGGGATAGCCACTGATTTCCTTTGTTATATAAGGGAGCCTGTTCACAAATACCTTTGGGCCATGAACGCATTGTTTGAGAAATGTTGGTCCAAGTCAAAGACCCTCCATATGTTGAGCCCGACATTTCAAAATGAAGAGGCTCCTTGTTATGACACGCCAAAAACCATGGTGGCAGGGAACCCCCTACGAGGTACCCTTAACTGGCGGAAATTCTAATTATGAGAAAAGAGGCCAAAGGGGTGGCTTTCCTCGATCCTTGTACGGTTTAGGGTTTTAGGGTGCAGGATTTTGATTTTTTCAGTTCTGGGGTTGCGGATAGGGACTGCGGGCGTGGGCTTTATTAATTACCCTCAACCTTGACTGCATGAGAAATTTAGAAACACCACGCAACTAGATTTTAGGCATTGGAGATTACCGTATGCCTTGTGAACTGGCATACAAAGCCCACCCTCAAACATTCAACTTGCACACCCCCTGTTGTTGATCATATATGTGTATCTAGTATATGTATATATAGAGAGAGAGAGAGAGAGAGACCAAACAAACAAAAAAAAAACACTCTAATTGAAGGGGTTGAGTGTTTTTTGGATGCTTAGGAGGTCTGCTTTGGAGGCATCTTTTGACGCGAGCTGAAGGTTTGGGGTTTAGGGTTCACAGGGCCAAACAAC